CCAGTATCGTGGACTCGCTCTCTCTTGTTTCATACAAACGCAGCTCCTGCCATTTTGTCACTATTGTTTTGTACACTGTTGGATTATATGATACAAACAAGTATCTTTTAAAACCGTTTATTCTGAAATCAATATCTCTTATCTTCATAATTATTTATGCGGCGAAATGCTGTGTAATAAGTGGTATGACTGTATACCCTATGTCTTAAATGTCCGTCTAGTTTGAACTTGCCGCACTAGCTACTGTTCTCTCTGCAGAAGATTTGCGTTTAAATACCTAATAAAATATTTCGACTCTGATCTATATTTTGTGTTTAATTATTTACTTATGTGGCAAGTAGCCGTGTAATAACTGGGATAATTACTCCGCTTCGCGTCGGGGGATTTATCACCCTTTCAGGGGTTTATTCTGAGATAACAACCAGCTGGATGTACATTATCCCTTACTTAAAGCAGGACGTGTAGGCAAAGAGCCACCTGATGCGAAGCTAGCCATGGATTATCCCGCTTATACCATGGTCATTTGTCAGCATTGACAGGTTAAAGCTGTTATTGATGTTTGCAATGCAGTTATTTGACAGGAAGGGTAAAAATTAAGATTTTTATCAGTTATGGCTCGTTGGATGTAGCTTTCTGCCCGCTTTAAATCAGACATAGACATAGAGATAAAGTATTGTGGTAAGATTGAATAATGAATAAATGAATTACAGCATTTATTTGAATTAATTACCATGAGAGAGAGAGAGAAAGAGAAATATGCGAGTGTGAATTACCTGCATCTGTGCAGCCTCTTTTTACTATAGTGAAACTGCGGGTTTCAAAAACATCAAAACCAGTGTGCAGCGTTGAGAAGTCTCCGATCTCTGTGTGCGAGTGGTGTGTGTGTGCGCGCTCTTCAGTAAAAAAGTAGCACATTAATATAGAATAGTGATTAAACTGACTGGAAATACCTGTACATGAAAACAGTTTTAATGCATGCCTTCAAGCCAATCAGAATAGAGTATTCAGACAGACCATGATGATATAAAGTAAAAATATTTTATTAAAAAATATACTGCAATTTATATTAAATATTTGAAGTGTTCAGATATTTTACAACAAATGTTAACTTTTGTGATGTTGACCAAAAAACCCTTGGCGGTTGACCGAGCGAGTGCCGGAAGTGACAGTGGAAACGCGACTGGCCCTGGCACACACTAGCACGCTTCCTTTTGGCCCGACAGTGGAAACGCGGCTATTGAGGCTTTTCCGGCATTCAGTTGTGCATCTTATTCTGTGCAGAGACTGGAAGTCACAAAATGAAACGTCATAGTCATAAACAGAGGACTATCAATTGGTAGCATAATGTCCCCTTGACTTTGTGTCTTAGTCCTGATCAAATTATAGTGATAAGCATATTTACTAAAGGCCTAAGATCCAATTGCCATCATCAGTGTGCATTAGAGTTTGGTAAATGTTTTTTTTCTTTTCATTTTTTGAGTATTTGCTATGGTAACAATGATTGGTTCAGCTGCTTAATCAAAATTAGATGCCAACTGCGCAATCGGGAGAGTCTCGATTCAGCACGGCTCTGAAATGGACTATTACACATTTTATTTCTGTTCAGATTACCATAGTAACCACAGATGTACTATCCAATCCATCAAACGAAAAATAGCAGATATTATCAGACCACTTCTTTATGAACATAAAAAAGAAATCTTCTTTTTGAAAAATCCTTTCTTTTGGATTTTATTTTATAATTCAGAAGGTGATCTGTCACCACATGTTGGAGCTGGATCTGCACAAGATTGATGTTTAGTGCTATTCCTTCATATGCACATAAAGAACCTAGGATCCTTGGCAGAATTCCAAAATAGACCAGCCTTGGATGAAAAGAGCTTGATGAGGAGAGTTTGAAAGGCTTCGATGAGAATATTAAGCATAAACTCCAGGTCACTGGTCTGTTACCTTGATCTAATTTGTCCGATGTCAAGCTGGCAGGAATCTTGACATTGGCAAAATACCCCTGGAAGCAGTCATTAAATAGCAGCTGATGCTTTGTTCTCTGTTTTGACCTGAGGTGTTTGTGCATTAGACGGATGGTGTTGCACTAGGACAGGACATGGCATGAGGATACCCAGAGCTCTCTGCTAGTACCAGAAATGTCCTCCTAATTTATTGTAATTGAAACCACAAAAGGTTCAATTAAATGTTAAATGTCTCTGGGGCTAGTTTACAATGTCATTGTGTCCTTTTCTGTCTTAGAAATACACAAATGGGCAGAAAAGGGCATTCTTTAACATTTTGGTTTATGGTTTTATTGACATTTTTGTTTTTTATTTTAGACAAATTTAGCTCATTGTTAAAACTGGTGGCAATTGTCAGCAAAATATTCGCAAAGCAGTTAATTAAATAAATTGTTTGGATGTTAACAAAAAAATATATATATATATATACAGTGTATATATATATATATATATATATTTAAAGCTGCAGTCCGTATCTTTTCCTCTTTGTCGCCATCTCTCTGTTCGAAATCTGTAACTGCAGTGATTCGAGAAAATTATTATCTTTACGTGGGTTGTAAATCGGCATGAAACAGCGCGGATGAACACAGTGCTTTGAGGCGAGTGCTGCTGTCAGTCACCGCGCTGTGTGGATACTGTCATACAGAATCACAGATTCACTTTTTGAAAGTTTGACCAACATAAGAATTTTCATAAGAAAATGTCTTCTGAACAAGTAAGTAAAATCCATTTTTGTTCTGACCAACTAAGGGGGAAAAAGCATTCGACATGATAAGCTTCGTTAGATTTAATCAACGCGATTTACAGCAACCGTGCAAATTATAGCCTACTTTGTTCTCAAATTGTTCATGTTAACAACATCAGCATTGCGTGACTAATGTTAAATTTAATGTGTTTTATGGTTAGCAGCTACCTGCGTAGTTCAGAATTCATATTCTCCATAATAGCAAAACGAGAAAGGCACAACAAAGGAAACTCCATAACTGTGTGAATTAAGAAAACGTACTGTTACACGATTGAACTATTGAAATGTCTTACTTGTTCAGCAGAAAAAAAGCCGTCTCTTCTTCCGTTTTGAACCCCTTCAAAACACGGAGTTCACGCACTTTTCAAAAGCCCCGCCGATGTTTAAATCCTTGTGTTCGCATGAGACGGTTTCTTTCTCTTTCTCTAGCCACCTTAAATCCGAAGTACGAAGTCTTTTGGGTTTTATAACTGGTGAATCTCCAGTTGACACTGATGATTGTTGTTTGGATCTTTCTGGATGCCATAAGTTTAATTATGTAAAGTGCTGCGAGAAAAGCCTATACATCTAAACATCTCGTCACGCGCAGTATAGCCGGCTAGCCGAAACTCCTTCTTTATGTGTACGGGTGTGACGTCATGACGCAAAGACATGCTCGAATTTCCCGCGGAAACCCACCAGTACCACTGGAATTAAAATCATTATTACAAGCTAACCGTTTTGAATCTAGCTATGGCAAGCAGATAGTTTTGACCACTGGCAGAATAAGTTTTTTTTAATATAATTATTTTGGATTATTTTTAACTTAAAGTTACGGACTGGAGCTTTAAAGAAAGTAATACTTTTTTTCAGCAAGGACTGATTTAATTGATCAAAACTGACAGTAAAGAATTTTAGATTGTTACAAAAAAAAAGAAAAAAAAGTTTCAAATTATTGCTGTTCTTTTTAAACAATCCATTTATTTATAGCCGTAACTGTTTTTAGGTTAAATTTTTTCCAAAATATTTTTTTGAGCAAGTACATAACCAGCCAGTGTTCAAAACTATCTGCTTGCCTTAGCTCGATTCAAAACGGTAAGCTTGTAATAATGTTTTTAATTCCAGTGGTACTGGTAGATTTCCGCGGGAGATTCGAGTCTCGGCTAGTAGGCTATATTGCGTGCGAGGATGTTGGAGGTGGAGATTTATAGCCTTTTTCTCACAGCACTTGATATAATTAAACTTATCAATTTGATGGCGGAACCAGAAAGGTTCAAACGACAATCAGCAGTGACAACAGATTTACCCGTTGTAAAATGCAAAAGACTTTGGATTGAGAGTTTGGAAGAAGAGACTGCAACCGGCCCATGCGAAAACAAGGATACATATCTGAAGGGCTTTAAATGTAGTCACGCAATGCTGACGTTGTTAGCATTAACAATTTGAGAACAAAGTATAATTTGCGCGGTTTGATGTGATATGATAAACGATCGTTAGATTTAATCAGCGCGATTTACTGCAATGCTTTTTTTCAGTTAGTTGGTCAGAAGAACAAAAGTGGATGTTACTTACTTGTTCAGATGACATTTTAGGGTGAAAACTATTATGTTGATCATACTTCCAAAAATTATAATCTGTGATTCTGAATGACAGTATTCACCATAGACTGTAAAAAAACACCACACCGGCGCGGTGACTGACAGCCGCACATTCTCCTCAAAACATTGTGTTCATCCGCGCTGTGCGGTGTCAAAGTACAACTCACGTAAAGACAAGTTGATAATTCCGCGAATGACTGAAATTGTAGATTTCGAACAGAGATGGCGACAAAGAGGAAAAACTGTGGACTGCAGCTTTAAGTATCCTGAAACTAAATGTATCACAATTTCCACAAAAATATTAACACCACAACTGTTTTCAGCAATGATGTTAGTAAGAAATGTTTCTTGAGCAGTAAATCAGCATATTAAAATGATTTGAAGACTGGAGTAATGATGCTGAAAATTCAGCTTTGCCATCACAGGAATAAATTACATTTTAAAATGTATTATATTAGAAAGCATTTATTTATAATTGTAATATTATTTCACAATATTATGGTTTTTACTGCATTTTTGATCAAATAAATGCAGCCTTGGTGAGCATAAGAGACTTTTAAAAAGCATTTTAAAAATATTTTAAAAATCTTACCAACCCCAAACGTTTGAATAGTACGAAGTAAATTGGTAAATTACGCGCCATTAACATAAATCAAATGTGTGTTTTAGGTTTGTCACAATTTACAGAGGCCCAAGCCACACGTATAAGGTACAGAGACTAAGTGAGTCGAGCAGCTACTGTCTCAGGATTCAAGCTGTGAGCGAGGCAGGAGAAGGGCTTTTCTCTGAAATACACACCTTCCATACCACCAAATCTGTTCCTCCAGCTCTCAAGGGTAACGTTTCCTTGTACAATAACATCAACATATATGCTCATGCCACATATATGCTCATGTACTGGATGGATACTTATTGGTTGTTTATATAGCTAAACTTGTATATTATCCTTTAGCTCCCAAAGTGGTACAGTTGGAAGGGAATGTGTGTGAGGTCAGCTGGGAGAGCATTCCACCAATGAGAGGAGACCCCATCATCTACATCCTACAGGTGCTGGTGGCCCGAGAATCCGAATACAAACAGGTGAGATTCCATTCTTCAAATCTGAATTGTCTATAGATTAGGACTATCGATTAGCCAGTGATTTATCTCACGACATCTAAAGTTTATCGCAACACTTTAACACATTCAGTTCATTTCTACAGAAACATCTTCACATTCTCTTTACTCATCTCATTTGCATAAAAAGTAGGTATCGTCAAATCAGAGGCTCTGTTCTTTTTTTTTTATATATATTGCATGAAATTTATCCCAAAAAAAAGAACAGCCTCTGATTTAAAAACAAAAACAAAACAAAAATTCTAGCTTCATGCTTTTTCTTTTTTATCAACACTTGAATGTGGGTAAGTTTTATTAAAAAAGCAACATTTTGAACAAAAAGCTGAGAAAAATCTTTTTGGTCAAAGACCACAATGTGCATAAGCAATGTTTTTATCGCTAGTTACTGCATTTTTTTTATTTATTTTTTTGCCCGTGTTTTGATTCAGAGATTCTGTTCTTTTTCAGAAGATGCGTAATAGTAGCCTGGTTCTACCAGACTCTCGTACATTTCATTTGTACAGAGAGTCTGGCCTCGCTCCATTGAGAAACGTTTACTTCCTTGTAGGCGGGTTCTCTGTTAAAGATCAAAACTATTGGATCTGCCCAGCGTCACTCAGGATCTGCCATAGCCAATCGCTAACGTGTGGTCGGTCGCTAACGTGTGGTCGTGACGTATGTCATGCGCCGAAACCGGCTGGAAACAACAAGTCCGAATTCCATATTCATAAATCTAAATATCTAAATGCTAAACCTCTCTTTCTTATATTTGTGAAAGAATTTTAAAAATACCTCTTTTCAATTAAGTTGTCTGAGAACAAAAAAAAGCCTTAAAAACATTATCTGTTTGTAATTATTTTCCTTTTTTCAGTGTCATGTAATTCTCTTAACTTGTTCATGTTTATTTTATATTATCCCCCTACTGTTTTATTTTTGTTTTGTTTTTATTATTATTTTTTGTTTGTTTTTGTATTATGTTTTCTGTTATTACTTGTGTATTGTTTTAAGCAATAAAAAAAACAAGTCCGAATGATCAGAGGATTATGTTTAGAATAAGATGTCTGTCAACGAGAGCTGCATGTTTTGTTCATCGAATTTAAGAGTTCAAGGAACAATTCTAAATGTATATTTGACACTAAGGACAGTGATGTATTCAGTCAACTGTCGAAGCTGGGTGTAATCATTAACAATACGCCGCTGCGGTCGTTTCGGATCTGCCGCAAATGCTGTACAGTGATCATCGTGCACGCCGAGCTGCCCAGCACCAACTCCTAACCTCTCTGCCTCCCTCACTTGGTCCTCCATTAGTGCAACAAGAGGAGACGACAACAACTATCGGCTTTGCATCCTATCGTTCGCCTTAGCTAACTCATCCACTAGCGGAGTGAGCTGGAAAATTAAACTTTTCCCGAACCCCGTGGGGAGGAGGGCCACAACATCATGGCCACCAACAACACTTAGCAAACATTGATCTTGCTCCGGCTTTAACTTCTGGATATTCGGCAGTTTTGCAACAACGGACCGAATAGATTTTCTCACGTCTTTCTCCGCTGCCGTTACTGAACTCCAACTCAAACTGACGCGCTACATCAACGTCATCGTTCTCAGCCACTCCCTCTGTTCGCTGATTGGACCGGTAAAAAAATTTATTTCTGGAAACCAAAGTCTACAGCATACGGAGCCCGGGAAGTCACCTGTTGAAAAAAAAAAAAACAATTCGTGGCGACGGTTTTGCAATCCGTCCGCTCAGTTTATAAACCGTACTCACGAATTCTCAATCTGTTCCCTCGGTTTAACAAATCGTGCTCACGGATTAATAAACCGTACCCACGAGTTCCTAATCCGCGCTCTTAGATTTGTAAACCGTGCCTTCAGTTTTTGCAATCTGTACCCACAAATTCATAAACCGTGCCCACGCTTTCGCAATCCGTTCCCACGGGTTTGTAAACTGTACTCACGGATTTGTGTCCTCTCCCCCAGTCTGTGCCAACCAGGCCTTCTGCGGGATGCATTTATTATGTTTAAACTTAATTCTTTTGATGGATAATTTCTTGAATATTCTAAAAAACGACATTTAGGCTACTTGTATCTTTAGAGTCCATTTGTTTAGGAGGAAAAAGCTCAGTATAATAGAATAAGCAAAAAAAGACTTCACATATAAAAAAGAAATATAACACAAGGTTAGGTTATATAAAAATAAAACATTCATAAATTATTTTATGATTAAAATATTACTGTCTTCAGTGAACTCATTCATAGTTATAAACGCAAATGATAATAATATTATTATTATTAGCATTTTCTTATCAACAGTGGAAACAACTTTTACTCTATCATTTCTGGTCAAACAGAAAAGAATAATACATAATTCGCAACTACTTTTATTTGTCCAAACTCACATTACAAGAAAATGTAATTCCCCTTTATTAAACATTTAAAATATTCACAAATTAATATGGGGAAAAAAAATCGATTTTACTGGTTTTCTAAGGCCAAATTAGAACCTGGAAATAATATTTTTCCCGCAGTGCTGAATGTGAAGAAGAGCCATGTCTCTGGAACCTTAGAGAGATGATTTATAGGCTAATGCTAATACATGTGTCTGAAAAAATAACGAGGCATTTTAATTGTTGACAAGAATAATAATACAGGGCTAAGATTATCACAAATAAACACAAGATTTTGACGCATATCCAGTGTTTGTGGGAGTGTGGAGCGCGCACTATGCACGGAGGCGCCAGCGCGAACACTTGCATTTTCCTATCAACAGTGGAAATCTATAATTTCTGGTCATACAGAAAAGAATAATACATTATTTGCCACTTTTATTTGTCCGAACTCACAAGAAAACGTTGTGCTTTTGTAAAATAAAACAATCAGGCGCGCTTTCATGATCTGCGTGAACTGGAGCGCGTCTCATAAGAATGAACTAAATGAACTGAAACAAAATATAGCATAGCCTACCTATATAAAGCTTGAAATGTTCACTTTTAAACGAACAATTAAAATGCCTCGTTATTTTTTCAGACACATGTATTAGCATTAGCCTATAAACCATCTCTCTAAGGTTCCAGAGACATGGCTCTTCACATTCAGCACTGCGGGAAAAATATTATTTCCAGGTTCTAATAGGCTTTATGCACAGCTGCACTACTTCCTGAACTTCAGCCAGCTCCTTGTTTCCTGTCTGACATTATTGGACAATCTGACATAACTGACAAACAAGGAGCTGGCTGAAGTTCAGGAAGTAGTGCAGCTGGGCATAAAGCCTATTTGGCCTTAGAAAACCAGTAAAATCGATTTTTTTCCCCCATATTAATTTGTGAATATTTTAAATGTTTAATAAAGGGGGATTACATTTTCTTGTAATGTGAGTTTGGACAAATAAAAGTAGTTGCGAATTATGTATTATTCTTTTCTGTTTGACCAGAAATGATAGAGTAAAAGTTGTTTCCACTGTTGATAAGAAAATGCAAGTGTTCACGCGCGCGCCCCCGCCCCGTGCCATGCAGTGCGCGCTCCACACTCCCACACACTTATATGCTCAAAATCTTGTGTTTATTTGTGATAATCTTAGCCCTGTATTATTATTGTCAAACCTGTATTATGACTGACATTTGATTAATTGCTGTGTTCCTTTTTGGATAAAAGCGCCTTCTAAATATGTAGGCCTATGCAGGCTAATAATAATAATATTATTATCATTTGCGTTTATAACTATGAATGAGTTCACTGAAGACAGTAATATTTTAATCATAAAATAATTTATAAATGTTTTATTTTTATATAACCTAACCTTGTGTTATATTTCTTTTTTATATGTGAAGTCTTTTTTTGCTTATTCTATTATACTGAGCTTTTTCCTCCTAAACAAATGGACTCTAAAGATACAAGTAGCCTAAATGTCGTTTTTTAGAAAATTCAAGAAATTATCCATCAAAAGAATTAAGTTTAAACATAATAAATGCATCCCGCAGAAGGCCTGGTTGGCACAGACTGGGGGAGAGGACACAAATCCGTGAGTACAGTTTACAAACCCGTGGGAACGGATTGCGAAAGCGTGGGCACGGTTTATGAATTTGTGGGTACAGATTGCAAAAACTGAAGGCACGGTTTACAAATCTAAGAGCGCGGATTAGGAACTCGTGGGTACGGTTTATTAATCCGTGAGCACGATTTGTTAAACCGAGGGAACAGATTGAGAATTCGTGAGTACGGTTTATAAACTGAGCGGACGGATTGCAAAACCGTCGCCACGAATTGTTTTTTTTTTTCCAACAGGTGACTTCCCGGGCTCCGTAACTGCACAATCCCAGACGTAGTACTGAAGGAAAATAAAATTGAGCGGAAGTGCGTAGGAGGGCGGAGCCAGGCTAGCGTAATAGCGCCCCTACGGTATAACTGTGAAAACCGGAAACTTCCATCAATGACAGGGAAGCGTTGTCTAATAAATGACGGAAAATTCCATCAATAGCGGGGAAAGAGTTATTTTTCAACTGCATGTCTCAAGTCTCATTAGAGTATTAGTAGACAGTAGAATAAGTTGACATGTACTTGCAAAGTTACTTATAGTCAGTCTGTTAGTGTTAACAGAAATTAAGCAGTCTCTAATGACAGCTAGTTGACATGTAGTTTGCAAAGTTACTTATAGTTAGTAGAATGCCTAAATTGGACTATTGAAATACTGTAACTGTTTGTCCTTTTGTGATAGTTGTGTTTGAGTCGCTGCTTTGTCACAGAGGGAGGATTATTATTATTCACAGCACATATTTTTGTCAATTCTGTTACAAATGTGCTGTCATTTTACATTTAATGGCCACATTAGTAGATCAGCCGGTGATTCTAAATCCACTGAGCATTGAGCGGCTCTGAAGGCCACGAGGTCTCTCCATGGAGTTCTGCATGGCCGCTTCTGTCATGACCAGAGCAAGCCAATCAGATCCCTTCCTTCTCTCATATATTTCTCTGCTGGGGCCGAGAGGACGGTCTAATGTAGCTGGCATGGTTCCTATTACTGTGCTAATGTGTGCCTTGTCCTGTCAGCTGTTAAAATGGATGCGATTCAGGAGCGGGTTGTTTGCATGGAAAGAGAAGTGAGAGTTTAATGGCTGCAGATGCTGTGTTCTGTTTGCTCTGGTTCTGATGTTTCTGTGTGAGCATCTCAATTTCACCAGCTTATTCCACTATCTAAAACATGTCAAAGCAGGGATCCAGCATAAATCCTGTCTACATCTCAGATCATTTTCACCCAGCTAACTGTACAGCTAATGCATGTTCACTATACATTACTGAATTAAAATCATGTAAGCACAGACATCTTGCCATTTAATGTTAAAGCTAGTAACAATTTTGGCCTATAATATGTTAATCTTATGGGTGATAACCTAGAAAAATGGGCGATAATAAAATTCTGCACTTGTTTTACTCAAAATAAATCCAATTTTAAAACGCACACAAAACACTTGTGTTTTAAATGCTACAAGTTAGTTTAGGAATCACCACATTAATGTACAGTATGGATATTCGTTTTGAGATTTGATGAAGATTACATTTAACAGTATTACTTTTTTTAGTGCTTTTTTAGATTAGTTTGAGCAACAGATAATGTAAAGAGTAATCTAAATGTAAAAATTGAGGAAATGAGCATGAAAAATAATCAATATTGACCCTATATCTATCTAGTATTGGATTGAAAACATAGACGCTTAGTGATACAAAGAGAGAAATCTTCCTGTGCTGTTACATGAAATGTCAGCACTCATCTGTATTTAATTAATTCATTTTCTTTTCTTTTTTATTTGTTCTATTAGATTCAGCTTGTTTTTAGTTTTATTTTGTCTGCTCATGAGTAATTGGCCTGTTTTTGTCAACTTTCGTACGCCATCAACGTCTCAGTTTTTCATGCTCTTCTGAACTCAAATGGCATCCGTTTCATTCCTCCCTGTAAATGGAAAAATGAAATAGTAGCTATCAAAAAGCGTTGCCAGAAACAACTTCTATTAAGTTTATCTTTCTCAATGCATTATACTGCTTAGAGGGACAGTTTCCAAATGTTTTTTTGCATCGCTTGTGTATATCTTTGAGACATTAGTGTTTTCAAAAGTCTGGTGTGCACTTCTACTTTTTCTCTTGGAAATCAAATGTTTAGCCCTCTCTGACCAGTTTTTGTACAGCCTCGTGCCGTGCCATACATCTGGAATAAACAATGAAGGTCTTAATATTTAGCTCCTGGCTTTCCTGTGCTATTAGAGCTGCATGGTGACATGAAACTCGGGACGTAGTGATTTTTCTCCATTTCCTTTGTGTCAACAAATGAAAATGTGTCCATAATCTTAGCAGTGAGTAAGGAAGGTTACAAATTGTGGGTGGCTTTCCAGTGAAATTGAACAGCTGTTGTTTGGCAACCAAAAGCAGCCACATGTGAAAAGCCTCATGCATAGTAAGTGCTCTGTGTTATGTCAGTTTCCCACACATGACCTATTCTGCGTTTTAATCAGACTTCCTTCAATGTTTGTTGTTTCATGTTAGTATCAGCATATCATGCATGTACTGTAGTCTAATTGGAAGATATGTTTTCCTGGTGAAAATCTTCTTTTCTGTTTAGGTTTCTTATCTAGACTCTCTTTCATATCTTATATATATTTTTTGTGGCACATAATGGCATTGTAAAAACTCAAGGATATGAAAACTCTGGCTCACATGAGGAATGCACCATATTGACCACTATCTGTCATATTGACATAGAAAGGCTTGCCTATGCTCTTTAATAAATGTATCCTAAAATTACTTTTTGTGAATTATACTTTATCCTGATAGATAGAATCACTAGTTATATCCAAACGTTCAGTGTTATTCATACGTTTATACTGTTTTTTTGTTTGGTTTATAACATTTACATTTATTTGAATTAATACGGATTATTTAATAAAAGTATGAAATACATTAAAAATAATATAATAGTTTACAAAGAATGATTATTTTAAAAAGTACATGCTTTAACAAAAATGAACTTCATATTTATTTTAATAATGCAAATTTTAGTTTATTATTTAAAAACAAATACATATATTTTATTGAATAATTATTAGTATTTTTAATAGTATTAATAAAGTATTATTGTTAATTACATATATTTAATAATAATTATAATAATTTTCTGCTTTTAAACCACAGAAATTATGAAATGTGTAACTAAGATTATTTTCTGTGATAATCAACATTATGCCACAAATGCAATAAACGTAACTTCTATTGAACCTGTAAACATGAACAATTGTGACCAGTTGGAAGTTGTAGTGAGTTTTATGCAGTTTGAGAATATAAATCTGTATTTTTCACAAACGTACTTTCTTTCTTTCAGTTATATAAGGGAGAGGACACAACCTTCCAGATCTCGGGCCTGCAAAACAACACAGACTATCGCTTCCGCGTGTACGTGTGTCGGCGGTGTCAGGACAACACGCAGGAGCTGTGTGGACCCCTCAGCCCATCCTCGCTCTTCACACTGCGGCGTACAGAGCTCGCGCTGCCTGGAGAGCCCAGCTCCACCGAGACCCTGAAGCCCAGCGGCATGTTCGCCACGGACGAACGCTTCGCGGCCGTCTTAGTCGGGGCTTTCGCGGCCCTGTCCTTCCTCATCGCTTTTGTGGTGGAATACTTCTTCATGAAGTGAAGATAATAAAAAGCAACGCCAAACCAGCAGCCAGCCAAGAAAGAAAACATTAACGTTTCGAGTAACACACAAACACTTAAATTATACATCTGATTCGACGTACTGTAGGCTGAGTATTTTATACAGGCTCTCTTCTTGTCTTTTATCCTCTCTCTCTCTCTAATGCCTTCCAGCCTGCCTGTGCATCACTGTGTCACTCGCTCTTTTACAGCGTGTGGATTTTGCTCTGAACTCATGGGGAAGCAAAACCACATCATCAAGCCTTACGAAGAGTTGCGCGACGGCCTGTTTTTGCATGCTTCGTTTTTTTTTGTATCCCTTTAAGTGTACGTATATGTTGGGAGGAAAATGTATCGGTATTTTCTCCACGTTCATGGCCTTACTTTTGTTTTATCCAAGTGTGCTTCACAGCATTTGTTTCACAGCCATATACGAGTTGTTGGAATCATAGCTTTATCATGGTGTAAAACCCACGATCACAGTCCACCCAGTGCCGTTTTAATATACATGATCACGTGATCTTCACATTTTGTTTGTGCGTCACAGTACGCATCCTTCTCAGAAACACGAAAAAACTGTTACCGTAGTAAGACTGTTGTAAAGCCCCCTGCATTAAGCTGCCAAAGCAAGTGTGGTTTAAGTGATGCTGCTATTGTGTTTATATTTCCTACGAACGGAATCAGTTATCTAATATATATATATAGATACAAATATAAATCTATAAAATTCTATAGAGCTGTTGTAATATAAGTAACGATGAGTTTGAAGTAGATCTCTCATTTGGAGCGTGTTAATTCCCAGTCTATGGTGCTTTATCTGTGGTCAGTAGTGTTGGCGGACGGACGAGGGTATAAGGGAAGTTTGACGTCCTCTGCAACCACACACACCCTCTTTCCGCCAGCGAGTCCTAAGGTGCAGTGACACAGAGCTACTTCTCGCCTTCCGGCCACCCCCCCCCCCCGAATGACTTGGCTAGGCTAACGTCGCCCTCTCAGACTGATTTTGGGCTCTGTGTGGTGGACCAGCTGATGGCTGGAGTCACAATAGTTTCCTCACTCTGTGAATGGCGTTCGTCCCCAGGACTTCGCCCCTAGTGTTTCGTCTGCGGCCTGTGTCAACGCATTGAATGTTTCATCTTCTTTGAACCTGTGAAGCCAGTTGGACAGTTCTAAGGTGCTTTTACCAAGGTTATTGTCAAAAGCAGCAGTGAATTCCTCCACCCGCTGCACCTGATGTTCATGCCAAACAGCCTGATGTGCTTGCAGTGCATCTTTAGCCAAGTAAAAGGTACAAACCAGCAGTTCCCATCGATCCAAAGAGTTTCTCCCACATTACACTCGCAGAACCGGTTAGGTTTCTAAAAAGGAGAAATAAACTGACAGCCTGTATTGTACCTCAGGGACCTGGACTTTTCAGAGGCGAAGAAGTAAATACTATGTTTCTGAGAGGGTGCTGCGAAACACTAAACGTTGCCGAATGATTGTGATATTGCTGTCATCAGTAGCGTCATTCCGTTGTATCTGCCTCTGCAGTTTGAAATGCATTTATTTGATTTGTTTTCTCACCTAAGCTGTGCCTTGCTCCAGTTGTTCGTAAGCAAATCGTTTACTAGCTCAGAATACCTTTGCCAAAGTTAATGGGAAAGTAAGGTATCATTCTTTAGGGTTATTTATACTATCTATTGCATACAGTACTTTAAATGGCAATTAAAGTGCAATCTTCATTTATTTATTTTTCAAGAAATTAAGAGATGTAGTTATGTACTATTTTTTCCCTCTCTTGTAGCATGAGTTTTATTTTTTATGTATTGTAGATTAACGATAAAGGCCAGCATTCCTTTCATTCATAATTCTGGTTATGTTTATGTCTCTCTTTAATTGGGAACATGTTGCATGTACCATGCTGAAACATTTATATATAACCAAATGTCTGTTCATCTCCTATTACAAAGTGCCGAACTCCAGTTAGTTGTCTTTTCATAGAGAACCGTAGCAAATGTTTAACCAGTTTTTTTTTTTTTATATATATATAATTTGTGAGTGTGTAATGGGACATACAGTAGATGCCTACATTTGGCATTGCTAAAGAGTGTTATGACGCTTATGTTATCTTACTGTTTGCCAAAGCGGAAGCTTGTCCACTTTTATGTTGCTTTTTTATTGTTATTTAAAGGGTTACTTGAGAAATCCTTTGTGACACTAGAACATCATTTCTTGAAAAGGAAAAACATACGTTTAAGTTAAACTTCATCTGTGACTACACTTTTTTTAGTAGTAAAAATTGTGCCATTTATTTGAGTAATCCTTCAGAGGTGAAATCTTACACGCCGAAAGGAAAGCAAAACAATCAAACTGTTTTCAGGCAAGTGACATTTCTCATTTCCTTTTATTTTCCAGACATGTCATAGCGCAATAGTGAATTTATTCCAGTATTTTTGCTAAGGAATTATATATATAGATATATAGTATGACAACTAACAGAAATGAAGCACTTTTTAAAGTGAAACATTAATCTTTATTAGATTTATCTTGATAAAACTGTATTTCCTAGTCAACGTTTTATTACTTTCACATGGAGAGTATCATGCAGTAAGAAATGTCTGTTAAACTGGCCCACACAGGCTTGAACATATTTAGTGAAAAGTCTGAAAGTACATTGGGGTCCTTTTATTGTTAGTGTTTTTCTTTTTTCTTTTTTTGGTTTATTGCCCATTATGTAGTGTTTGGTCCTAACCCGTGATCTAAATTTTGATGTTTTCTGTTTGTTTGTTTTCTTATTGGTAAAAGAACACACAACAGTTTTGTGGCCCAAGTATAGTTTTGTATTTTTATATCGTATTTGATTCCGTTTTATCTGTTTTGTTTGTGCTCTGTTTTAAATATGAAAATGAATTTGAAAATGATGGTTTGGAGATCGGTCAGCTCTGTCATCCCAGAGAAATGTATAGAACCGTAAGTGTATTCAACTTTTTTCCAAAAGAAAAGTGTATTTTTACCTCAGAGTTTAAAAATAAAAAAAAGACAGAAAAGGAAAGATATACAAAACATTCCAGGCTTGTCATGATCTACAATTTTTAAAGTCATACATTTTTCTCGTATTGTAAATGTTAGACAAATTCATATGCATATATATAAAAGAAACTGCCATATCAATGTTAATGTATAGATTTTTGCAAATACTACCCTGTATGTAAGACTTATCTGTATCTGTAGCGTGTATGTAATATATTTATACCCAATAAATGTTTTAATTTTTTCTGACAGATTGTATTTTGTACTGGAGATGTTAATAATTCATAGAGCTTATGGTTGAAGTCCCTCACTTCTTGTCTGTTGCAGCATGTCATGAATATTAAAGTCCAAATACTGATCATCTAGCACAATATCTTCACTGTTTTACATTTCTAACTTCAGATTATGTCCTTATTCTCAAAAACCCACCAAATTGGAATTATTGAAAGGCTGTTCTACAATTGTGCTGACGTGTCTAATGTAGAAAGATGTTGCTCATCGAAGCTGCTAGTCCAATTTCATCCACCACCAAACGTACCTCGTATGAACATGTTGAAGCACTTACTCATTCATAAAGAAGGGTTAAGCCGGTGTAAAGATTCCTGTTGTAGAATGAAATGATGAATTGCTTTATAAAGATGAATTAATCAATAACACCATCAGAATGCCTAAAAAGCAAAGCATTTCTTTTTCTCCATTTCCAATGATGATAGTTGTCTGCTTTGTATTTTTTGCTTCAAGTCTGTCTTTGTGTTCGTGTTACATTCTGTTGCTGTTTTTTTGTGGTAATTGCTTGACACTTCAAAGCTGCAAAATGTCAGAGTTTTCTTTCACTGTCTGGATTTTCCATTTTATCATCTTTATTGGCATGGCCAGTAACACTACATTTGTATTATCAGAGCATTTGCAGCTTACATCTAGACCGTTATTGCTCAGTTAAACTGATGTCAGTCCGTGACTGTCTTACCAAGTGAAGACCAGTGGGTCACACTTTAGATTAGGGTCCAATTCTCACTAATAACTAACTATTAACTGCGACTTTTCCCTCAGTAAACTCCTAATTGCTGCTTATTAATAGTTAGTTAGGTAGTTGTTAAGTTTAGGAATGGGTTAGGATTAAGGGATGCATAATAAAGTCATGCAGAATAAGGCATTAATATGTGCTTTATAAGTACTAATAAACAGACTAGTAATATGCATGCTAATAAGCAACTAGTTAATAGTTAGAGTTGGAGCCTAAACTAAAGTGTTACCTACCAGTGTTGGGGAAAGATACTTTTAAAAGTAATGCGTTACAATATGACATTACTCCCTAAAAAGGTAATTGTGTTAGTTATTTTTTATGGAAAGGTAATGCTTTACGCTATTTTTTTCTTTATTTTCTCACCTGTGCTGGGCCTGCTGGTTCGAAAAAAACTAAAGTTCTATTTTTGACAAATGTAAATGAATAAAGCCTCACGCTGCAAGAAATGTAATTTCACATCTGTACAGTAGAGGGCGCAGCTCAAACACCTTTCAGCTCTGCTGACATTCTGCATCGCAAAAGATTAGGACGACGCAGGAGAAGAAAGTTCTCTGTCTTCAATAAAATTAAAACAACAAAAAAAAAATAACAAACGTGATGTTTAACTAAAGTCATTTTTGCTTATTGGTATGGTTGAATTGGATCATCGCAGGTCAGCAGAAAATACATTGGTTAACAAAGCGAGATTAAATGCAGGCTATATTTGTGTTATTTAACATTTAATTATGTCAGGTTTGTGTAATCTGTTTGCATTTCTCCTTTTTATTCATTTTGAGGAATCTGTTTTTGTGCAAGTGAGATGAGTAGGTTAAGTGCCTGCTCACAACTAAACAACCCTCATGTGTCACATCTCATGATTTCTCTCAAAGTGGGGACAGGAGAGCTGTCAGTCAAATGGGAAAACAAAGTAACTGGCGTTACTTATTTGAAAAGTAACTCTGATATTTTGTTGTAAGGTGACTTGTGTTACTAATGCATTTCCCCAACACTGGTGAAGACATTCAGTTATGTTTGTGGACATTGATTGATTGCATAGACTTTTATAAAGCCTGCAAAAGCCTTTTAGTTGAAGTCAAACATTAAATTAAAAAAAAAAACATCAAACGTTTTGTCCAGGTATCTTTTTTTTTTAATTGACACTTTGAAGAGTGTCTACACTCCCCCTCTCCATCAGGGCTGTGGTATTTTATTTTTTAATACATTTTATGGTTATGGTAGGCAGAATTGGGATGTGTGAATGGTGGGCAATCTCATTTTGCAGCGTCACCTTCTGCCTCATAAGGAGATCTGACTGATTTATGAAACCATTCTCCTCTGTAATCCTCTTTCTCCGCAGTCTGGGCACTCTGACCTTGATTTGACATCAACAAAACACCAACAGTCAGACTTTACATATGGACATAAGAAAGCAGGATTCCTAACAAGATATCATTAAACCGATAAACCATTGATCCTGAGGAATAAGAGCGTCTCAAATTAACTGCTATCTATCTATCATTCTGTGTATCTGTCTGTCTTTCTATCATTCTGTCTATCTGTCTGTCGTTCTATCAATCCATTCGTCTGTCTATTATTCTATCTATTGTTCTATCTGTCTGTCGTTTTATCCATCCATATTTCTATTTACTGAAATAGGATATGAATAGATTTCAGTCTTACAGGACAACCATTAAAAAAAGAATATATATATATATTGTTACAGTATATTCATATATATCATAATTCGTTTGTCATACTGTCATTGTTCTTACAAAAGAAAACCTGGCTTCAACACAGTAGATATCCAATTAAACATGGGTATATTTACATATTTTACAAAGTACAAATATTCCATTGTTTGTACTGTACATCATTTTAGAACACAAGACACATGCAGTTTCCACAACAGATATTAATGGATGTAAGAAGATGACTTGTTA